TAATAGGCACGAGACGATATGGAATTATTTCGCGTTTGCTAGTAATCTCGGATGACGCGATTCCTAAGTCTCGGTGATGACGAAACGGATCGTAATATGCCGCAAGTATCCGTCGTAGGTGATACTTCCTACCACCACGTCCTGTTCTCGGCATAAAGAAAGATGAGGTTTAGGAATAGAGAATAATAACCTAAATTATTATTTAAAGGATGGTTACAATAACTTGTGCAATTCGTATGCACCTCTAGTTATCGGGGATTGGATGAGTTACGGTAACTCGTGCGATTCGTACGCACCACTAGTTATCGGGTAAGGATGTTATTGCCTTTACTCGTGCGATTCGTACACACCTCTAGTAAAGGGTAACTAAGGAGAAGATTTTCACGTGAATATTGGAAGCCTTTTAGCTTCGAACTTGTCGACTATGTAGTAGGAAGATCTTGAGACTTGCGAAAGAATTTAATGAATTTAAGTTAGAATTACGCGAGGTTACCTGCGAAGCACAGCCGGGGTTATATTAACGAACACTGAGTTTAAACTTAACAAAACTAATTTATTAATAATTGCCAAGTAACACACAATCGACTTTTAAAATATAAAAAGACGACCTTGTCGAATGCAGCCCCTGATATGTTCGTGAGCATCATTGTTTGCTTATTATTTACTCTGACTAATTTTATTAGTTGGCAATTTAGGCAATTTTCTGCTATGGTATGTTGTCAATTTCAGCTGTTTGCGAAATACATACTCTACGGAGATCTAGCTCCCGTGTTACCGACAATAGTGATTCAAGCGTGGAATCTAGTATTTCGCTGTCTAATGTAATATTATCTGTTTCTTTTTATTGGTAGAAATATTAATTTTTTGTTTTTTAATGCACGTCTCAGCATTAAATCTTTATATTCTGGAAGTTTTTTAAGTTCAGCCAATTGTTTTGCTTTTTCATCACACGGTTTTCCGCACATGGTGATGAAGATTGCTATATTATCCTTTTTAGTCGAGATTCGATTGCCTGATTCTACTAGATTCCGTGAATCTCTATGTTTCCTCCGAATGAGGCGGTATAATGTACGGAGACGAGGCAGAATCAAACATAACCTCCAAACTGGTGTCCGCATCGGTTTCCTCTTGATCAGGGCGGAGAGAGATACTCGAAGCACTGACATCCTGACATGATCATGAATACCTGACATCCTCATGCAACACCTGTCCTGATTCAAATTATCGTCAATAAGCGTATCTAACGGCGTCGAGGTTTCTACTGGTGGTTCTATTCTCAGATCTGATGTTTATTTAATTCTGCTACATTTGGCATACTTGAATACTATGATTCACTATAGGATGTTTCATCCGACAAATGAATTGGGAAGATCTGTTTTACTTCGAGTGGATTCATGGATAGAGCGTTAGCGTTCGTGTTAGCAGTTCCTGATTTATGAAATATTTTGAAATTTTATTCTGCCAATATGAGAGCCCACTTAATCAATCGTTGAATTAGTCATTTCTGCTTGGTTTAATAATCTTAAACAGTACAAGACCGGAAGGTCTTTTCCAATATAGACCTCTATAATCGATCATCATTTGCCATTTTGCATTTTTCTTTGAGTCCGCTTTTTGAACTGCCCAAATTGGTCAATTATATGACGAAACTGAAGGCTGGATTATTTCAGATGCCAGAAGTTCTTTTGTTTGTTTATTAACTCTTTGCGGACGGAGTCGCCTGACGAGCGAGCGTCGCTGTGGACAACAGGTATTGGAGCGCGCAGTAAAGAAAATGTTCACGTCGCACGTTTGCGTTGTAAAAACTAAAGCTCTATTTAAATAACTTTTTCATAAAATTCAACAAAATCATAAACAAATAAATTCAGTTCTGGTTACATATGAGACGTTTTATATTCGAGCTTTGTATGGTATAGTTCGAAGCAATTACCTATGTGCAAGGCCGGCTTAGCCGAACAAGTAGCACAATAGTATCTGGATTCTCTCCTTCCATGTTTTACTTTTCGATTGGAAGATATGACGCAGTCTATTTCTTCCTGTCCCGTCCCGCCGAATTATATGTAGAAGGTCGTTGAGTCTTTTTGCTGTTCCAAATGTCGAAGGAGGTTTGGGATTAGCCTCTCGAAAATCTCCAATCAATTGATCTACCAAGAGACGCACGAATTCTATATGTTTGAACTTTTTTATATTGTATGTCTGGTGATGTTCCTGATATAATAAATAAGAATTAATGACTGAAATTTTCAATCTCCAAAAAAATAATTTTCGCTACCATTTTTGAGACTTTCGTATAAAACAGTACGTGCCTTTGTATTGATCTCCTTTATCAACCCTGCCCATATATTTATTATAGTTTATAATCACATTTGACTTTACAATATCAGTTCTTCCTTCTTTGCGTGACCTTTTAGTGACGGTTTTTGAAGACGAGGTAGCACAGGTGCTGAACATAGTTACAATACGCTTGTCTCTCCAAATCAATAATAGTAAATCTTTCCGTCTGTAGGCAATGATTTCATTTTTGGCAATCTTTGGATTTTTTATTTTAAGTGGAATAAATTACCTATTTGTCTGAATAGTTCCAGTTAAATAACATTTCATTTTCAGTAGTGCATCTGCCAAGGGAATGCTTGTAAAGTACCGGTCGTTGAAGATGTGGTATCCTACAGCGCGCTGGATTGAATTGCAATAAATCGTAATATAGTTGCGGAACTATTTTTGTGCTTATTGGCAGATATGGTCTGAGTAATTTCTCTGTAATAAAACTGCCATAATACGGTAAAAATATCTGTATATAATTAATATCGGCTTCTGCAAGAACATAAACACGGATACCTCACTTGGTCGGTTTCTGTGGCTTGTACGTAATAAAACTTATTCGCCCTTTGAATTTGATGATTCATCTACGGATAACTCCGCCGCGGACACAAAATTTTTACGATTTACCGTCAATGTAATCTAAAAAATTGCTAACTTTTCGCATTCTTGTTGTCATGTTTCGCGTACCTCCAATATTTTCATTTGTATGGAGCATCCAAAATATTTGTAGGAATCGATCTCTTCTGAATATTACAGCAAAGTATGGGATCTTACTTTTCTTGTCTGTGGTCCAAATAATCTTGCAGGCTCGGAAGTGGTATTGTCTCCATAAGCAATATTATGTCGAGAAATGTTTGCATTTCCTTTGGTGTAACATTAGTCCATGTATGCCATATGGACCGCTTTTTTATATTTTTTCCTTGTATCATACGATTTGCGTACCGGTTAGCCTCTTCAACTATTTTCCTGATCAATTCATCGGTAAAGAACGAATTGAAGAAATCTAATGGTTCTGTATAAATTGATTTTAGTTATGAATCAGGTGTTCGTGATCCAGATCTAAATTGTATTTTTTGTGGAATGATATCGTGATTTGTAACATTCGTCCACTCATTATCACTACTGCTATCATTTTCTTGAATAATGGTTTCTTCATTACTGCTACTATCACTGCCCACATTGAAACGTGTGAGTGGGTTCCTCGTTGCAAGGATTCCACTGGATGAAACAATGTCGTAATCTTCTGTGTTGTCAAATTCAAACTGAAACTCATTAGTTACTATCGAACGTATCGTCTCTGGATATTTTAGCCATTGTGGATAGGATGTTATAAGACAAAATATGTGGAAAACTTTGTTGGTTTCTCCGGTAGTAACACTGAAAGACTGACTCGACAAACTGAAATTCGTTCTGACCCTACCATGGTCTCGCATCGTAAGTTTACATTATATGGACAATAAGATTTCATCATTACAAAATTTCTAATTTCATTGAGAGGCAACTTGACTTCTTAAGCTAGTATACCCATGCGTATCTTATCGTTTAGGACGACAGACGTACGCCAGCCACAAGTATGCAACGATAAAAAGGCTTGGGCGGCTATTTGCCGACACTTATCAACAAAGGATTAAGGCGAAAGAAAATTTTTCTGAAAAAATTTCTTGGAATTTTACGTTTCATAACGCATTCCCCCCCTCCCTTATCGAACATAGGAAACATTCAGCTCATGATCCTCAGCCGAATGCCTACATCCTCGGAATATCCTATCTCGCCTGTCTATGAGATAGTCATTTAGCAAATATTAACCGACTCACGTAGTTCATCTTAGTTGCCCTGTGAGGGTGCAAGCATTAGCTCTCTCCTCTTTCTCGAAAGCTTTACCAGGGTAAGCACTTTTTTGTCGTACAGGCTTGTAAATCGGAGATAAGTATTCTTCCTGAGTACATAAAAGCCCGTTTGCATCTGCTTCCACGTAGTGTCTCTTAGCACGGAATTTGACTAACCATGCCAGAAAATAAGAGTGGTAGGCCCATATTCACACATTCTGCCTTTGCGCTATATTTAAATCAGGTATTTAAAAGCTTTAATTATTCATTCATTTGTACTAAATTTTTCTAACACTATTTAACTTCTGTTATTATTCGACTTCATTGGATAACCTAATCCATCTACTGAATTTCCTGTAGAATTTTCCGGATTTTCATTTTGACCTATATTCATTCTTTCACTTAATAAACGATTCGATTTCAGCAAAGGATTTTAAAAATTTCTTACATTCCTTTGCACTAAATTTATTTCATTCGTCCCAACAAAGAAATCCCCCTAGTCTGATTATTAATATTAGGTCTACCCAAAAGTTCTGTTTGTTTTTAGTAGAAAATAAAATAATAAATTTTTTATACCTTGAATAAACTTCATTGAATAATATAATTACCTTCATTACTTCTTGCCAGCGTGATGGCAATTTGTATATCCCATTTTAAAGAAATGCCTTATTCCTAGAGGCGAAAAATTGAACCAGTGTATGTCTGATATCTTCTTCTTTATAAATTTTTTGGCCTGCAAAAATTTTGGAAGGACAGAAACAAGTGATAATCGGAGAATGCTAGATCCGGGGAGCTCTGCGATTTTCTGACGAGTCCCCAAAGTAGTAAGTGGCCTGGCATTATCATGAAGCAATATGATGTCCTTCTTATTGAACATCGCCGACCTCTTTGCTTGAAGTGCTGTTTTTAAATATCCAATTGCTGACAATACCTCAAATTTAGCTTTTCGTTCAGTTTCAACAGCTCAAAATATATTGATCCTCAAATGTCTCTCCATATACACAATATTCTCTTGTTCAAGCTCAACTTCGGTTTAGAAGTGAAGGAAGCAAATTTTCAGGGTTCACTATATGCCCTTTTCCTTATGATGTTTTCGTAGATAATCCACTTTTCATCCTTAGTTATTATCGGGTCCAAGAATGGTACGATTTTGTTCCGTGCAAGCAGAAATGTGCATATAATAACTCGATCATTCAAATTCTTTTCGATAAACTTAGGTGGCACCCATCTCGAATATTTCCACACGAATCCCCTAGTTTCCCAATATGGTCCGAAATGATTTTTTAAGCTGAATTAAGTCTATCCGCAATCTCCAATGTTGTCAAAAAAGGATTTTGCTTTAACATAATCTTGACAGTATCGTCAATGTCATCGATCAAAGATGATCGCTCAAATCGTCGTTTATCAGAAAGGTCGAAATCACTTGTTTCAAATTTTTTTAACCATATTCTGCAGGTTCTATCAGAAACTGTATCTTTACCGAACACTTTCAATAAATTTCCTCACGCTTCTATAACATTTCTTCCTTGTTGGAATTCATTCGAAATACAGTGGCGTAAATGAACTTTATCAGAAGCCATAAGTACAATATCGCGTCTCACTTAATACTAATATGAATCATCTTTGTTTAATTCATTCGCTAGGTTAGTATGTATAAATTCAGTGACAAAAAGAAAGAGCTAAGTATGCGTCAAATGAATAAGCGCATACTTGTTGAAACTTGTTATCAGAACGGACAGAACTTTCTGGTACACCTAATACTTATCTGATATGATTCCTTTTCTAAAAACAGAGACGAATTTTTGTTCGCGCAAGAAATTCATCAATCCTCCTCCTCTCCACTTCGAGTTCCTTCAGTTGTTGCTTAAGTTCCCCTGGAGCTCTTGGACAAAGAGAGTGAGCGACTGTATTTTCTTCTCTCTTCCTTCTTTTCCTCGCCGATTTTCCTGTCTATTTCTTGAAGATACGTTTCGTTATGTCCCAGACGAACTTCCAAAATTGTTACATGCAACCATGCTTTTCAACGAAAAAGAACTTTAATAAAGAACAAAGAAGAACAAGTTATTGCTAATGAACAGTTTAGCAGATTAATTCTCTCAATAAAAATATCCGAATATGTTGGAACGTTCGCATATCACGTCCTCTCTGGCCGAATTTCTTTAGAAGATAAATGATAACCCGTTATTATTAGTCACATTTTCTGGGCGGTTAGAAACGATCTTCTAGTTTTAAGTTCACTTAGAACTCTTTTAGTCAGACTCATAACAATATCTCAACTACAGATTAATGGCAGCACAAGTCTTATTTACAAACATTTAATTATTTAAAATTGAGCTCAGTCTATGGTACCCTGTACCCTACAAGTAAAACTAGGTTTAAACATATTTGATATTTGGAATATTTTTTATAAAGAAATAACAAAATTTACATTGATAGCAAAGGAATAATTTATATTTCTAATATCTTCATCTTGCTTTTTAAAATAATAGTAAAAATATAACAAAAATAGCAAAACAATAGTGAACATAAAAATAAAAAATTGGTATGTCATGAAATTTTAATCATAATAGTCTTGTTATGAAAGATCGATATTTTTTGGGGCATATTTTAATAGGGGTCCAAAAATTTGTAATACCTGAGGTCTCTTAAAAGTCTGCCACTGACAGTATTCGATCACATATTCGTAAGATCTCACAGCAAAATATTTTTCGATGAATTAATTATTTGATCTATCATTGATCATCATTGACACGTCAAAATAAATAGAAAGTAGCAATAAAATATTTTTAATTTCCAATCCTATATCGTAAAAATAAGCAAGCAAAGTTTTAATTTTTGTCTTGATATGTTGAATCTGTTAACGAGATAATGTTTATGTGTATTACAGACTCTACTCTATCTTCATATTCCGTTTCGTTTAAATCATTGCGTTCGATTTTACTTTCATTTTTTTTCGCTTTCTAAACGAACAATTAAATATACTACTTTATCACGTTTGCGAAGTGCGCGTTCCTGTTTGTGGAATTTTAAGGTCTCCTAAATCAGTCGTTCTTTCGATTTTAGTTTTTCATATATTTGATATTTCTGATATATATGATATTTCTTCTAGTCTAACCTCCATAGACACTACTTCGTATATCCATTTTTTGATCGAACTTGTTTTGATTCGTTTTATTTGATGACATTTCACATATTCCATCTCTGTCTCAATTCTGTGTTACGTCGCGTTCGGTACGAATCTGTAGAAAATATATCTTTAGGAGTATCTCTTATATTGTCGGAGTTTATGTCTAGAGCTTTTATCTGTTATTTGCAATTATGGCTCGAAATAAATACGAACAAAATATCGCACGTGAATAGTTCAAATATTGTTTGGTTGCATTAATACCGGTTTCAATCAACACGATTTCACATGAATAACAGGAATATAACGGTCTTCTACAGATGTCCTATGAATTTGAAATTGCAGCATTTCGTAGATGGGATTGATTCTGAAATAAATTAATATCGATTGCTCGTATTACGTAAAAAGTAGTCCTAGAATTCTAGAAATATTCTCAATAGAAAACAAAAGAAGTTTTGGTTTAATAAGATTCCAAGTCTTAAAGATTAATTAGATTTGAATTACAAGGACTTTCATATTTATAGCTAAAATAAAGTACACGAAAAGTAGAAATATCGATTGCATTGAAATATGGCTCAAAAAACGCGTGTAATGTGTAGAACAACCAAAAATTTTTGTGAAGGTATTCTATGAGTTATAATTAATGAATAGCGATCATTTGTCAATGTGATCGTAACAAATTAATAGGGAACGTTCAAATTCTGCTAGAAATGGTTCTAAAGTTATGGAGATATTCTTAATAGAATTGTCAGATCTAAGTGCATAAGAATCAAGTCTTGCTTTATTAAAATTCGAGATATAAAAGATTTTATTAGATTTGAATTACGATAATTTCCGCCCTTATAACCAACGATCGATTGCATGAAAAATTGAATTATTCTTTTACTGCATTGATACGGAGATCAATAAGTACGTTCTCACGTGTAAAATAATAATGCGATAATCTTCTGAGGATATTCAATAAATTATAATTATGGAATAACGCCATTTTTTTGACGAGATCAATTCTGAAACTAATCAATTTAGTAGAGGATTTCTCATCCTCTGCCAGAAGTGGTTGCGGCTTCGATGAAATTTGTATTTTTGTCGGTGTAATCGTCGGAGAGAATTCCTTTTCGTGAGATGAATATTTTGAGTGTGTTTAAATACGACTTCGTCGGCAAATTGAAAACTTATTTGGGATGGATTATCTTGCATGACAAGGATACAAACACTGCAATAGTCTATTCCGCAATAGACGAATGGTTTCGCTAGGGATATTCTAGGAGTCGGGAGATCACCCATAATTATCTGTTTTGCAATTGGCACAATACGAAAATATTTAATATAATTTCGCATGAAATGTCTTAACGTATTTTTCCAGTTATTAATAAAAAACGTCGCAAAGAAGCTAGCGTAGATTGAGGACATCTTCGTAATTTTGTGTTTCGGAGGTAGCAACACGATAGGGTGCTTTGTCGAGCACGGCAGTGCGGAATGTGACAGTCTGCCTCCAATTCTGATGACGCCAGTCTTGACGATGAACGGAATCAAGCCGAGAAGCTTACGGTTGCGAGGCATAGATTTATTGTCGTGTATAGTCTCAGAACTGAGACATTGAGGATCATTTTACAAGAGTTGTGATTGAATTAAGTGAGACGGCGAGATTCCTCGAGAAATTGCGTCGACAGGTTTTTCCTTCATGCTTACATACTTCCATGATCATGAATTAGTTCATTCCTGTATTGGACCTACAAGATTTGATACTAATAACGCTTCGCGTCGACTCTTATCCACCCCAACGTGATCATGAATCAGACAAATTCTAAATTCCGTCAAGCTTGATGCTGAGAGACTGTGAAATTCGATGTGCGAGTAAATGCGCCGTGCAAAGTTCCAATTTGAGAAATATATAATACTTTTTGCAGGAGCGACTTTGCACAGAATATCCTTTCGATAACCATCGACATTCTTCGCTTTGATATAGACCACGACTCCAAACGCATCCCCAAATGCATGCTTGTGACGCAAATACCGTATATCTCAATGAATAAGGTTGCGAATAAGTGATGATCGTTCTTAGTATTTTCAATGTATTCAATTGTAACATTTGATTCCAGTATTTACACTGTTTTGTTCCGAAAGATACTATTTCATCCCAATCGATCTTTAGCAATCTAAGCTTCTGTATGAGAAACTTTCCATTTATGATAACTAGCCGGAGTAACCCGATAGGATCGAAGATTTGAATGACGTTTGTGAGTATCGATCTTTCACGGGAATCGGCGGTATCACATAGTATTGAAAGGTATCATGATTGAGTATATGTTCAAAACGAATTAGAAAAATTCTGAAATACTGCCGAGTTTTATGCCCATTTTCTGAGTTTGAATTCAGCCTTGATCAATATGGCTATCACTTCATCGCGAATCACGATTGCTTGGTCTATATTGTTTGTGCCGGTTAACAAATCATCGACAACATGAAAAAATCCGACAACATGATCACCACTTATAATGAAAAATTGGTTCTTTCGAGATGCGCAATTTCTTGCAATTCTTGTATGTACCGTATGTGACTGTTTTAAAGTCGAATATTATGATCTTCTCGTCTGGATTGGTCCTCCATAAGATGTGCTCATATTGTTTGCGAGTTATCAAAGTAAACTTGCTATACGCTAAATCGGAAAATTATGTCTAAGAGATTTTGCTGCAGAGTTGGACATACCATGAGTATGTCGTTGAGAGAAACTCTTGTCGAGGTCTTGCAAAATGCGTCAAACACAACACGTAACTTTATTTTGAAATACGTTTCTTTGACTTGGTGATGCAGTAAATAATATTCCGCTGACACAAATCTTGATCTTCGATTCACTTTTGTGACTTAGTCATCGATACTCGCTAAGAAATTCTGTGTATTGAATCCTAACTTCGCATTCTTTTCGAGCTTTCGATCCAATGCGTTGAATCGTCGCAATGCTGTAACCTTGAAATTGTCAAGCTGCCCAGTCGTATCCATTTGGAACGGAAGCTGCACTATGAAACGACCGCCCTCGTCTCTGTGATAAATTTGAACAAAATAATAATCACAAAGATTTTTCTGCGTCGTGCGATTAACTCGCTGTGGGCATAGCTCGCTTTCCAAAAATTTCGTGAAAATTGTGTTGAGCTGTTGATTTGTGATAAGATTGTGATAAAAATCGGTGCGAGCTCCAGTCTGTTTCCTCGTCTCGGTCAATCAGTCCAATACCCAACCGAAAAGAGTTTTTTGAAGGATTGGATGATCTTTAGTGACCTTAATCTGCCCAACAAATATCAACGGAAATGCCTTTACAACGTCCAACACCTGAATGATTGTTATGGACAACCGGACCTATCACCTATCATGATCATGAAATGTATGTGTGGCTGCCGATATAATCTAATGCAAATCTTTCGATTAGTTTTGCCAAATCGCTTTGTGGAATTAATGGGAGAATATATAAGCATGTTGTATCTGTTGCAGTAGGTTTTGCAACTACCGACTTGACAATCTTTCGTGCAATGTAAGACAGATCGTAAACAATTCAGGCACAGTTTGTTGTCCTTGACTGCTTTTGCAGAACCGGCATCTTCAGTAAAGTTTCGCACATGATCTCGAAATGCTTGTCCTTAGAAATGGGGCATTTGTTAGTTTGATTTGTGACGTTGAGCGAAGTCGGCTTTGTTTGCCATTGTTTGTTGAGGATTGAAGGAGTAGACGATTGTGACGCTTTTCTTTGAATAATTTTCAACATATATCATCTGCGATTCATGAATTTAAAATTGTTAAATCCTGCAAAGTCGGGATTTCTGGTTCCCTTAAGCTGTTTTCCCATTCTCGATTTGCGACAACATCGAGCTTACTTGTGATTACATACACGAGGCGGTCATTCCATTCGATTGTCGTTCGGCCTAAGGCTCTCAAGGCGCGTTTGTGCTTCGACATATCATCGACAATCGCAATCATGCGTGATTTTTTTTAATAGACTTATCATAATAGCTGGTCAACAATTACAAAGCTTCGTTGACTCTGAAAAAAAGTGAACCCCTGTCTATTTGATCTGGAACCTCTTTTTAACGAAGGCTTCTTTTTACTTATCAGTGCGCTGAGTACGACAGAAAGTACTATTGGTGTCATTTAAGTCCTATACTCTACCCTCAAACTCTGATATCAATACATTCCGCAAATTTGTGTATGATATGCTTCTCTTTTTTGCTATTGTTCCCAAGCTATAAATGTTATCGAACTTTCTAGCTACCTGTAGTAGCCATCACATTTTTCTAGTTTAGATCCTACTTTCAAACAATTTGATGTGCTCATCCCACATTAGATCACACTCCATATTCAATTTTCCGTATTGGGTTTTAATATTCACAGAGCACCCTAAACTTTTCGGTCTAAACTAATCAGTTCTTTTGTTAACTTTCAAACCTCTGCCGGATGATCTATTGCATTGTGATAATATTGTTCATTGCAAACAGATTGCAGTAAGTTAGATGTTCTCCTTTCATATACTGTCAACTTACAAGCATAGCCTCGTATTAACAGGTACCATTTTGGTAATGATAAACCAACGGTTCCCAATTTAACATCCCTAAAGATCCTAGGGAGCAAATGTAGTATTTGATCCAATCCATGCCAAACACCATCAATCTTTAAATATGCTTTATCGCTCTCCTTCAATTTAGAAATTAGATCTAAACAGGAAGCTTCTACCGCTATCTTGTCTATTAAGTCAAAAGCTGGTATTCTTGATTTCATCTACCAAATACTACGCTATCTACTGACAATATTTCAAAACGTTGTACCTATTGTTACTAATGCTATATTCACATTACAATTTGTTCTTATTCGAATAGGCTGGACGTAAAATACGTTATCAGCCTTTTTGAGATCATAGACACTAAGTAGTACTCAACAGACCCATCGTATCCACTGCCTTGGTGGAATATAACTTTAACGTCTCCAAAACAGTTTGAATCCGCCCATATAGTTGATATTTTGTAGCCGCCTCAGTACTCATATGTTGTTCTCCCTGGTTGTTCGACTTTAGTGGAACAGTGTTCCTAATTATTTATGTCTGTCTCAAAGTTCTGCCGATAGCCTACTTGCAAAATGGTCAGTAACTTACCCTACTCATATTATTTGGGACAGATCTATAGCATCCCGTACCAGATTCTTGGCATCAGTCATCCATTCCCACCTAGAGTTCTATTGAATGAAGCATCATATTCCAATGGGTGCTTGAAATGGCTAAAACCACCAGAGTCTCCCATTATCGAAGTCATCGCTTCTTCTTCCATCAAGTCCATTTCTTCCCTAACTTTTTTTATCGAAGACAATATCACAGTCGAATTCCAGTCATTTAACATTCTATTAGCCAGTCTAGCATCCTGCAAAACCAACTAGGCATCCTGCAATAGTCTTTTTACCAAATCCTACAAAATCGGAGTGAGGACGAAAATTTAAAGAACCTTCTTATTGACTCATCGGGCAACGCTGCTGCTGTTGATGACGTTTAACGTGATACGAATTAATAGTTGATAAGGAAAAATTTAACAATGAGAAATGTATATCTCGCGGTTTAGGAAACAGATACGTAGGCAGTGTAGAAAGGAAATAAAATCCTTGCTGATTAATTGCATACATTGTAGAAAATTTTTCATCCGAGTTGACATCACAATTTTCATAAAGTTAATAATTCAGCAAATGGATCGCTGAGTTGAACTGGTAGATATGAAATATTTATAAAAATATGAAATAAAGAGTGTGAAACAAGGAGTAACGTATGCAAGGGGAGTGTAAGGCAGCATCCCAACAATGTAAATAGCCGAATAGCGATCGAGTGTTTTACGCCAAGACAAAGATCCAACAAAAGAAAAGAAGGCATAAAAAGGTAGTCAGCGTCTATCAATCGAATAACGATTACATCCTAGTGTACCAATATTTCTTTACTTTTCATTTATTAGAATATATTGCATTTCCGTAGAAGAGAATTTTCTTTTCATCATCGGAATTCTTATTTTTTTTAGTCAGATATCATTTCAGAAGACTGACTAGACAGAGCGAATTCCAAATATATTATGTAAAAAGTATTAGTAATATAGTAATATCTGTAAATACTGATAAGTCGAAGAGCACGACGTGAAGAATAATGTATATTACTGAAAGTACAGGGATTAATATAGAGAACTTCGAAATGATTAAAATAAAGGATTTAGAGGAAATTGTTATGAGATTGTTGAAACAGAAAGGAACCGAACAGGGAATAACTACCAATATATTAAAGTTGGTGTTTTATGCAATAAAAGAGAAATTTGTCGACGTAATAAATAATTCTTTGAAGAAAGGTTGCTGTTCAGAGAATTGAAAAACATCAACGATAATACCGATTCCACAAATAGAAAAAGCTAAAAAGCAAATTATTATAGATCGGTAAATGTATTTTGAATTTAATGGTATTATAACGGAACATTGATTAGATGTTAGAAAACAATATTCGTGTAAAATGGTAATTCAAACTGTTGTTGATGAATGGAAATAAATAGTTAACTAGAGAACAATGATGGATATTATTTCTATGAATCTTAAGTGAATGTTTGAAACAGTAGATAGAAAGAAATTAATAGAAAATTTATATCAATATAACTTTAGAGGTATTGTTTTAGATTCATTTAAATAATAGAACGCAGCAGATTCGTGTGGACGATAAATGGTCTGAATTAATTAACACTGAATATGGAGTGCCGCAAGGATTTGTATCAGAAATCTTGTCATTCATTGTATATATAAATTATATAATAGAAATATTCTCTGAATGATGTATTATAAAAATGTTTACGGATAATACATTAATTTATGTTATTGGAAAAAGTAGTATACAGTTAGAGACAGAAATGAATAAGACATTTAACACTATGACGTCCGGTGGCTCCACCTTGGTGCCATTCGGAAGTTATTGCTCAAGCACCAATGGCTGCATTGTGGAGAATTCAATTTAAATTCAAAATTGGAGGACGAAAGAATATTGCGTGTTCTGGAATTAACAGTAAATTACAGACGTAGCAACTTTGTGTTTTCATAAAAACCTGTATCCTTCGACAATGGCAAACGAAAGAGAAGATACAATTATACGTGATGAGTGTGTGGACATCTTGTCTGGTGTTCCATCCGAATTTCAAGATAGTGAGGAACTAGAAGACATTACGTCTTCAGAAAAGGAAAATGAGGCAATATCTTCGAATGAATCTGACATATGTAGACAGAGAATTCGGCGAACACTACCGTTACCAAGCGATACAGAAAAATCAGACGAAGATAACTGTAGACAGTGGTCAAATTTTGATTTACCAAGAAACAATTATGCTTTCGAAGGATCTTCTGGTCCTAACGTACTTCCCAAAGATACAAACAATATCGAGGATGTCGTGGAACTATTTATAGGGAACGACTTGTTTGAATTTATTAGTACCGAAACGAACAGGTACTAAGATCAAAATTCCACCAGGAGGAAGCCCGATAAAAAAAGTGCAAAATTTTTCAATGTTACGGCAATTGAACTAAAAAAATGGTTTGGACTGATTATTCTTATGGGAATCGTTAAAAAATCAAAGATTGAAGATTATTGGGCGACAAATCCATTTTTGGAAACACCAATATTTGGTAATACGATGTCCCGCAATAGATATTGGCAAATATTATCGTTTGTACCTTTTTCGGATAATAGTAAAATACCTGCTAATGCCGACCGACTGTTCAAAGTACAAGGTATAATTGATTATTTTACGAAAAAGTTTCAAGAAAACTTCAATCTTTGTCAAAATATTACAATAGATGAAGGAATGATGGCGTGGGCGATTGAATTTTAAAGTTTATAACCTCTCAAAAATTATAAAGTATGGTATAACTTGTCCGGATGCTGTGTGATTCCATTACGGGATATATTTCGCAAACGGGATATATTTTACAAAATATACTCTGGCAGTAAAAAATCTTTAAAGGATACAGTGATAAAACTATTGAAAAATGTTACTGGAAAATGGCATCACTTGTATATGAATAGCTACTATAACAGTATGGAACTTGCGGATGATTTGCTTACGAAAAAAATTCGCGTTTGCGGAACGCTGTGTAAAAATAGAGGATTACCGGCAAAGTTGAAAAACTGCAAACAAAATGTATTTGAAACCAAACATCAACGAAGAGAAGCAGTACTGGCGCAAGTATGGAAAGCAACGAAGACGAAAATAATAAGAACAATTTCTACCATACACAATGGTGGTTTAGTTGACACTGCAAAAAAATGCAGAAAAAGCAATAGTACGATTAAAAACTCGGCATCTATTTTGGATTATAATAAATATATGAAGGGTGTAGATCGAGCTGATCAATTTTTGAGCTATTATCCCATATACCGGAAAACTTTAAAATGATCAAAAAAAGTGGCATTATACCTTTTCAATTGCGCTTTATACAACGCGTTCGTACTGCAACAACATTATACAGATTCCAAGAAACTCCACTTTCATGATTTTTTATTGAAAATATGCGAATCTTGGATAAAAGATCATTCCCTGTTGGTGAACAGAACTTGGAGGTCCCGAGTTCATGACATGCTTCCAGTCGTGAATCAATCAACAGACTTTCCGTCCTCGTAATGGAACGCTGATACGTATTTCAGAAACCAGCAACGGAAAACGCAGAAGGAGTCATGTGTGTTATAAAAACAAAAAAATTAAGTGAACTAATTTAATCTGTAAATCTTATGGAGTTGCGCCTCGCCTCGGAGATTGCTTTGCTTCGTTTCATTTAAAAAATAAGTACGAAGTTTTTAACAAAATATAAATAAATAGATAAATATGTAATACAAAAAAATCTTGTACTTATTTACATATGTATACCCTCACAATTTCGAGAAAATCGCGAGACAGGATTGAAACATGGAAACTGACGATAAGATTAGTAAACAAGAACCTCGAAAAACCGCCGGCGATAAGCGAAATTATGTAAATAAGTTCCACCGGCGCGACACGCAAAAATCTATATTAGACATGCGGACGGCATAGTGTTAATATAGTAGAAGAATGGAAGAATATATATAAATTAAAAATGAATGCAGAAAAGACGGAATATATGATAGGAGCGTCAGAAAAGAGCAGGATGGAAATATTGTATTGAAATGCTTTGATAGAACCGAGATATAACGTGTAGAGATAATGAAATATTTAGGAATAGATGGTAAGCTTAGGTTTAAAGGTCATTGCGATTGTATGTTAAAAAAGATAGGTAAGGAAACTAGTTTTTTGAATGGAATAGGAAATTATACATTGGCATATACTAGATGTGTCACGTATAAAGTGATTATAGCACAGATCATAGCACGTTGTTAATGGATATGAGAGAGATACAGCTGAATAAATTGCATTGCAAAATCGGGAAATGAGAGTATATTACAACATGTGTCTATGTATTTTCAAGATCTTGAGGAATTTGTTAACTGAACAATTAAGAAATAGGTTAGAAATAATAGGAAAAGAAAAGGGAAACACACACACAACAGACCAGGAACATTGTAATACAATTTCACAGAAATAGGAGTACGCAAACGAGTATGTTTTATAAATTAAAATATATAATGCTTTACCAATCGATATAAGACAACGCGAGAGACTCGACCAATTTAAAAAGATGTTAAAGGAATATATTTTCTATAATTTCTAATGTAGTCTAAATTGTGTATTACGAATAGTTGAGGGAGCTAATAAAGTTCCATTAATAATTTAATCAATCGAAGCTTTCATCATTTTCAACTATCGCCGCTGTCACAGCTTCTTCTTCTAATAAGTCTATGTCTAAATTTCCCCTCGATTCCTTAATAGAGGAGAACATTACACTGAAAGTTCTTATCATCTAAAACTCTTGTAGCTGAACTAGGTTTGTTTTTATGTATCGTTTTTATGTATTTTATGTATTTTATATTACCTTCTCACTAGGCTGTACAATTTATTATATAGCCTCCACTATATCCATCATTATCATACAAATATTGTGTTCCATGATAACTTGCTTATCAAGCTATAGCTTACCCACAATGGCTGACAGTCAGTTTTTTGAACACTGTCCTGAATTACTATTCTTCCGTTCGATGCCCACTTTCTTCTTTCCACTTATACGTTTTCTACACGGGGTGAACTTCGTACATGTTCTACAGAACTTTGTTAAACCTAACCGTCAATTCCTGATACTCGTTGGTTGATAATTACAGATACTTGTTGATTTCCAAACTTTCATTGTTACATTGTACATTCCACTTATCAAGATGTTTGTTAAATTTACTAAATCCCATGATTGATCCAAGTATCATTCCTCATGTTGATTAGAATACTGCACTTACAGTATTCCCCTATGCTCAAAAATAGAGAATCATTAACAGTATAGAATTACATCTATTTATTAGTTTCCATGATTATTGTACTTGGAATTGTGACCAATACTTGTAATAATAAATATTTTAATTAGAAAAAATGGTGTAGAATATATGTATATATAAAAATAAATGGAAAATATACGAATAAAATAGTATTCTGTTAGATTTTTCTTGTAGGCGGCTTTGAAATCTATTATTCACGGTTACATTTAATTATTCACATTTTCATATCATTACGATTATTTTGCGTTTACATACTACATAGATTTCTATTAATTTAATTGTCAAAAATTTTCAATGTTTCGAATGCTTATTAACATGCATGGTTTATTAGAAAATCGATTTCTTTTACTTATAAACATGATTGTAGTATAGCGAGGTCTAGATACGAAACTCATTGAAATGTAATCTAACATAATTTGCAAACATGTCCATCGATAATATGATTATATGATTGGTGAAAATCATTAAGCTAATTCTCATGAGTTTTTTTATAGTACTTTCTTTAGATCTAAGTTAATATTTTATCTATCTATTATAATGATTATTCAGTGTTAATAGATTATCCTTGTAGCTGTCAAGTACTAATAACTTATATTTTTAAAGTAAATAGTATAATTAAAAAAAAGTTGTATATAACATTTAGGTAAAACGAAAAATTACATATACTTATTTCTTTTCAAATTATTTAAAAATATCATCGATTATTATATTATTAATTAATTATTTGTATATTTACTTGTAATTATATACAATGAAAATAAAGAAGACGAAGAAAGGAATAAAATATTCAAATATATCTGTTACAAAATGAAAAAAATATGAGAGAAAAATTTTGAAGGATGAATATTTTGAACAAGATTTTGGAGCCATTGGTTGTTAGTAACGATTGGCGGAATGAAAAAACAGATGTTTATATATTATCTTATATATGTAGATCCTATTATATATATATATATATATATATATATATATATATATATATATATATATCTGATTCTAAATTATGTTAATGTTTTTAATAAATAGGGAATAATAGAAATTGGATGATATGGAAAGCAGTGATAGCGATAGCTCATAGAGGAACACAAGAAACCTTTAGTAAGCCTAAAGGAAACATATCTGTTGATTGTTGACGAGAGCGTTTTTGAAAATGCTCTTCTCGCATCAGACCAGTGATGACAGTCAATTCGCACTGAGGAAATGTTTCCCGTCTCGTTTTTGTAGTCCGAGCTACAGACCCACTTTTCGCGATTAATAATTCCCATCAATTAATGGGAGAACGCGCGTTTTCGTGAGAATTGAAGAAGTAATTGCAATATGTAAATCTCGCCGTGTATTTGATTGGATGAGTTAATACATTAGTTTGTGTGCCTCGGGCTAGTGTATGGGGTCTTCGTCATTGTGCCCTTCGAACGATTTATAGCGGCGTGATTAGCCCTACGGTAACGTAAGCGGCAGCAGGATTGTCCGATCTCTGCACGGAGGGTAACCTTAGGAAGCTAAGTACGACCCAACGATCGGGCCTTATTTCAGTCATATCCGCGTATCGCACAATCGCAACGGAATCTCTCTGCTTCGTAGTAGGAGAGCCCCTGATTGATTTCCAGTTATACAAACGGAGAAGGTTATACGACCTTAGGAAGAACAGGAATACCGAGAAAGCGACTCGAAAATTAGAAGGCATTAGAAGGAAGCTTAAGCGCGCGTTAGTAGAACAGTTCGACGAGGAAATCCTTGCAAATTAACAGTCGAGATGGGAGAATTCCTCCAAACGAAGGACGACATTTGCTTTTTTCCCGGATATTAAGAAAAGGATAGGTGCCAGTTTCGTTTCTCCAAACCACTTTTCAACGCAATTTCTTTCAAGTCATGGGACTTTCAAGGTAAAACTAAGGTCGCTGAACCTCGTCACGGATGGAACATGCGAGTGTGGCGAAGAGGACACGGTTTCGGATCACATCATCGAATGTTTGGTTTTCGAACCTCAGAGAGTTGCTCTGGAAGAAATATTCTGCGAAAAGAGCTGACCAGAAGTAGCGAAACATCTTGTCTTCACGGCTGAGGCCTTTTCCCTCTTCGCGGTTTTGTAAAGAAACCATCTGTATTAAGGGTAATTAGTTCATAAATCCTGTTCAGCTGGGATTGTCGGAGTTCTGGTGATGTGGGTGAGTGTCTGTAATCTTTTCAGGTTAACTCACTCTCGAACAGGATAGGGTCGGAGATGCTCTCATGCATCTCCCTATTTTTTTCTTCTCACTACAACCCAATACTCTCCCTAAAACTTGCTATCCTACCAATCCCATCCTATCCTACGGAACGAGTGTCAAGGATCGTGGCACTCTGAGCGGGCCTTTCCGTGGTTTCCCGTGGGTACAGCCGGCATCAGCGTGGTGATTCGTTGTTGCGAGGATGTTGGTCGCTGCCGGGATGTGTCTAAACCGCTCACCTTATCTTGCCGGCAGGAGTTTTGGGTTTTTCCGAATCCGGTCACTTGGCTGTGGTGGCTGCTGCCTTTGGGTGGTTTCGTAGCGTATGTCATAATGGGCGAGGTAGCACAGGTGCAGGCACCCTATGTCTATTCACCTTTACACTATACTGTTCCATCATGGCTGCGATACGAGATGGACACGTTGCCGTGTGCGCCGCGTTTTGTGAAAATTTTTCCGGTTTCCTTTATTTTGCCTGTGAAAAAATTATCTCACCCGTTAATTAGAGATCGGTGAACAAAGTGAGATAATAATCAATACTGGGGATTGATTAATTTCTCTGTAATTAGTGTAGAATTTGCTCAGTAGTTTTGTAGAGGTTATGTACGTTTTTGCATTTTATATTCTATGGACGAACGGTGGACTCAACTGATAATTTCTGTTGCAAGACGTAAATGGATTTGCAACTAAATTCACGCCATACTGTGATTGGCTGATGGATTAGACAACAATAATTTGTATTGGTAGCAATGCACATTATTTATTTTTCGACAGTTGGCGCACATGCGTCGCTCATAACCTCAAATCAAAAAAGCGCGGGAAACGTACGGAACTTCAGGCACGGCTCTACAGACCTTGTCGCCCGTGGTAAGGGAAATAAAATTTTCCGATATTTTCGAAATTTAAAAGGTTTTTAAAATTTTCAAAGTTTCGCCATAGGAACGTGATTGCAAAAATAGAGCCATGATGGAAATCCTACAAATAAATAGTGCTTGCATGATCATATAATTAATAATTAAAAAAAATATTTTTTTTTTCTCTATGTCATTAATTACTTAAAGTACCTTTACTGAAGTATTTTAATAATTTTCTTTTCTTTTCTAAGTCCTCTATTTACTTGAAGTACTTTTACTAAAGTACTTAAAATTATTTTTTTTATTTTCCCGTAGTGAAATGTTACTATTTATAAATACAAACTACTATATCAAAATTTTTTTTATGAGTCATTGTTATGAATCATTTTCCATTTGAATATGATATAGTTTTTATATAATACGAGTAATTTAACATAAATAACTAAATTCAAAAAGACTCATTAATTTAGTAAGAGATATATAAAATTAAATTTTTTCAAAACTTTTCAAAACTTCTATGCGTAAAATAAGAAATACAAATA